TGGTCCAGTATGTCATTCAAAGGCACTGTTTCAACTGATTTTCAACTTAGATGACCTATTGATGTAAGTGGGGTATTAAGGTCCCCTACTATAATTATATTTTTATCAACTAATTCCTTTATTAACTGTTTTATGTATTGGGGGCTCCCATGTTGGGTGCATAAGTATTTACAATTGTTATATCTTGTTGGATTATCCCCTTTTTTTATTATACAGGGCCCTTCTTTGTCTCTTGTTAAAGTCTTGATTTAAAGTCTATTTTCTCTGATGTAAGTATTGCTACTCAGGCTTTCCTTTGACAATCATTTGCATGATAAATATATCTCCATTTCCTCACTTCAATCTGCAGGTGTTTTTAGGTCTGAAATGAATCTCTTCTAAACAGCATATAGATAAGTCTCTTTTTAAAAAATCTATTTTGTCATTCTATGTCTTTTGATGGGAGTGTTTAGTCCATTTACATTTAAGTAATTGCTGATAGATACATATTTATTGCCATTTTATTACCTGTTTTGTGGTTATTTCTGAAGATTTTCTCTGATCCTTTCTTGTCTTGTCCATTTAATGGTCTGCCAGTTTTCTTTAGTGATATATTTGGATTTCTTTCTTTTTATTCTTTGCATATTTATTAGTGATTTTTGATTTGTGGTTACCATTTGGTTTGTATATAATATCTTTTGCATATAGCAGTCTGTATTAAGTTGATGGTCATTTTACTTTGAACCCATTCTTTCTTTACTCCTCTCCTTCCCATGTTTTAAGTATTTGGTGTCATATTTTACATCCTTTGTGTGTGTGTGTGTGTGCGCGTGTGTGTGTGTGTGTGTGTGTGTGTGTGTGTGTGTGTGAGGTCTTTGACTGATATTTTACAAAAATATTCATTTTTAACACTTTTGTGTTTCCTACCTTAGTACTGTCACTGTTGGTCTTTCCTTTCCACTCAAAGAGTCCCCTTTAATATTTCTTTCAGGGCTGGTTTAGTGGTCATGAACTCCTTTAGCTTTTGTTTGTCCGGGGAACTCTATTTCTCCTTCTATTCTGAATGATAACCTTTCTGGATAGATTATTCTCAGCTGCAGATTTTTCCCATTCAGTACTTTGAATATACCATGCCATTCTCTTCTGGCTTGGAAAGTTTCTGCTGAAAAATCCACTGGTAGCTTTATGGGTTTGTATGTAACTATCTTTTTTCTTGTTGCTTTTAATTTTTTTTTTATCACTATATTTTGCCATTTTAATTATATGTCTTGGTGTGGATCTGCTTTTGTTGATTTTTTTGGGAAGTTCTCTGTGCTTCTTGGATCTGGATATCTGTTTCCTTTCCCAGATTAGGGAAGTTTTCAGATATTTTCTCTTCAAATACATTTTCTGCCTCCTTTTCTTTCTCTTCTGGGACTCCTATAATGCTAATGTTATTGGATTTGATGGAGTCACTGAGTTCCCTAAGTCTAATCTCCTTTTGCACAATTCTTTTCTCTCTCTTTTGTTTAGCTTGATTACTTTCTATTACTCTTTTAGGTCTTGTTCCTCTGCTTCTTCCAGCCTGCTGTTCATTGCATCAAGCTTGTTCCTAATCTCATTCATTGCACTCTTCATCTCTGATTGGTTCTTTTTTTTATCTCTGTCTCACTGGTGTCTTCCACTCTTTTCTCAGGTTCAGTGAATATCCTTATGATCATTGCTTTAAATACCCCATCAGGCATGTTATTTGTATCTGTTTCACTTAGATCTCTGGCCGTGGCCTTGTCCTTTTGTTCATTTGGGACAAATTTTTCTGTCTTCCCATTTTGTCTAAGTCTCTGTGCCTGTTTCTCTGTGTTAAGAAAGTCAGCTACATCTCCTGTTCTTCAGGGTAATGGCCTTACAAAGAGGAGGTCCTGTAGTGCCCTGCCATGGAGGGTCCCTTGTTCCCCAGGGCCTGGCACTTCCAGAAGTGTCTCCAATGTGTGCTGTGTGTGCTCTGCTGTTTTGTCCTAACTGCTTTATCCTTCAGGCCAGTCATCTACAGAGGCTTTCTTTGCCTGTTATAGGCAGTGTATGGTCCCTAGCCTGAATGTGGTGCGTTTTAACTAGGTGTGCTCTAGTGTGCTTGGGAGATAAGACCTGTCATCACTGTTGCCAGAACTGAGACTTCACAAAACTCTCGGGTTGGGAGATGCCGTATGAGTAGGGGTTTTGGCTGGGCTTCTGTGCAGAGGGCCCACAGCACTGGGACTGAGGCAACCCAGACTGGGAGGAGGGGTTCACTAGAGCATGGTGGGGGGCGGGGCTTGGTGTAAGTAAGTTAGGAAACCAGTGTCCTGGCTTCTCACAGGTGGCCCTGTGCTTACGCTGAGGGTCAAGAGAGGGAAATGGCACATGCCAGTTCCTTTGTTCCCAGAGGGGTCTCTCCATAGATGCTGCCTCTCTGGGACTTGCTCTGAGATGAGCAAATAACCTCTCCACTGTGTGCCTCAGGCAGTTTTCAGATTGCTATTTCCAGTCTGTATGTCTGCAGGCTATTTACCCTGACTTCTTTCCAAAGAGCAGCCCCAATGCCCCAGGGCTCTCATTGAACCAAGCTTGCTGATCTTCAGAAGTCTAGGCTTTAAGCCCCTTTCCTTGAAAAAGCACAAAATTTGGCCCCTCTCCTTTCCAAGCCAATTGCTATGGGATTTATTTTCCCCATGCACTCCCCTGTGTGCTAGTCTGTCTCTCACCCTTCTCTGCCACCACATTTCCCTCCCCACTACAGAGGTCAGCATCCATTTTTCTTCCAAACCGCGTCTTTGCATTGCCTACTTTCTTCGATGAGGCCTCTTCTCTACCTTTATTTGTGGAGTTTGTTCTGCCAGACGTCAGGTCGATTTCTAGGGTATTTAGGATGATTTGATAGTTATCTTCTATTTCTGGGACAAGGTGAGCCTAGGGTCCTCTTAATCTGCTGCCACATTCTCACAGCCTACTCATTTTTTAGGATTGCTTTTTCTTAGTATTTAATGTATTTCATGCAATTGCATAGAGTTTTTTATTTGCTAGTGCATAAAAATGCAGTTGATGGCCATTTCTCTAAAATTTTTCCTAAATTCATCTATTAATTTGAATAATTTTCCAACAGATTCTTTGGATTTTTTCATTAATTCATTAGTTATATTTATTAGATTGATTAATATAAACTAATTTTATAATTGATCTATTAATTTCTTTCAAATCCTTATGCCTTTTATTTCTTTGTCTTTCCTTCCTCCATTGATTATTTGTGGCAGAATGTTAAATAATAAGCATATCCAACTCGTTTTCAACTTCAAAAGGAAATTTTCAACATTTCACTATCAAATGTGAAGCTTGCTGTAGAAATCTGTATAAGTAACTTTTGCTTCACCTTTATTTTTGCTATATAATATTATAGGTTGGTTGTACTTTTCTTTCAGCACTTTAAAAACATCATTCCATTCTCTTTTGGCTTCTACTACACTGGATTGGAATGACTTATCTGTATCTTAGTATGTGTTTCCAAATAAGGCCAGAGACAGTTTTGATTTTAAACTAATTATACACAATAAGATTGATTTAATATACCATAAGATATATTATGACAAAATTGATAGCCTGCTTTTTGGCCTGTTTATCTGTATGCATGGAAACAAAATAAAATCTTCATTAAAAAAATGAGACTGTACTATTGCTATTAGCTTATTGCTACTTCTTGTAAGTGTATGCAACCAGTAGAATTGTGATCTTTAAAATGTGAGATCCTGATTCTCTGGATCTGGGTAATTATTTCATTGGGACCTGTGACTCGTTTTTCCATTTTCTCTTTTTATGGCTCAATATGTACTTTATTTGTAGTCTAGAAAAGTAGGGATAGAGAGCCAAACAAAATAAATAATAAACACAACTTTTAAAGTATTGAAGGAAGTAAGTTTAAATTTCTACACACTGTTTACATATGCTTATGTGAAATGTATCAGATGCATCATTCTTTACCAAGTGTTTATAGTGAGTGCATATTCTAAACAGTTCCATTAACTAGTATGTTCATTTCTAACTTGATGATTTTGATCGTGATAAAACTCCAGAATCTGCTGCTATTCCAGAACATCCATTAAGCTTTCTTTGGGAAAGTGACATACCATCGATATAAACTAAGTGTACGTTTTCTGTATTTCTATATGTATAATTTCCTGAAAGGAATGGTATTGATTACCCACTTGATAAACAATTATACTACAACAAAGATAAAAATCATAAGAATGACTTATTTTTTTGCAGTTCTTCACAAAGTTACAATATAAATTCTATAATATGTGAATTCAGGAGTCACATTGCTTGGGTTTGTGTTGTGTTCTATCTCTTACTATCTGTCTGTCTGACTTTCTTCATCTGCAAAATGGGATTTATAGTAATTCTTATCTCAGAGCATTGTTGTAAGAATTAATAACATATTCTATGGCATACATTAAGTGCATAAATATTGGTATTGGTATTAATATTAATGATTGATAAATACTAAGCAATAGTAAGTATTTTTCTATATACTTCCTGCCATAAAAGCATTTTAAAATTGTGCAGGTGAATATATTTTCTGGCTAGGGTAGTATTTAATACAAGTTTCTTTAAATATGCTGTGTGAGGAAAAGGACATAAACTTGAAGTACACAGTACATACATTCTGGCATATATTGTGAAGTGTTCAATGGCAAAGGAAAAGTACTCAAATATGTTTCATATTTTATTAAGTACTCAGAGTTACGGTCTATGTTTTGCCAAATTACTCATTACATTTATAGGTTTTCTTTAATAACCTTGAAAACCTTAAATTGCATTTAAAAGGCTTAGATTTAAAATGCATGCTTGATTTTAAAAATGAGAGAAACCACCACTCTGTTTAATTTAAAATATTGTGAAATTATAGTTTCAACTTTATTTTTTAATAAGAAGTATTTGATAAATATCTAAGTTTCACATATATTTTTAAAACATTATAAAATGACATAAAATGAAATAATTTCACTTCTTGCCTTTCATCCAGAAGAAATCCAATGGAGGTCAATGTCAGGATAATGAAGGCAACCCTCAGAAGGAGTGTGACCTGTGATAGTGCCTGTTGGGGAAAGACAGACATCAACAAATTCTTTAGGAGAGTTACTAAAAGGAGTATCAGAATTTAAAGCTGTCAAGAAAACCAGCCTCAGATTTTATTTTATATTACACCATTTGTCACTGACATTTTTCAAGAAGTTTAAATAAATATACAGAGGATATTTTGGTTTTCCTAATGTCATTTAATTATCTTGCTAGACACTTGGAGAATGAATTAGACACTTTCACAGAGATATTTTGCTTAAAGAGTTCTTTCTAAAAATTCTCCTTTATAGTTTTGACTTTCATAATTCTTTGAAACACCTATGGCCCCACATATGGAGAAATCACTTACATTTTTATGAATAAATAGCACATTCCAATAGCTATTTTTAATATCACTAATTCTTTGTGGTTTCAAACCCAAAACTGTTTTTAATATGGAAAATATTTAAAGGAGAATGTGTTTACGAGTGCAAACACATAAATGGAACATACTGTACAAATACATACTCATATTTGGTGAAATCTATAGGTTCATATGTACATGTCAAAAGTTATCTTTTAAATTATTGTAACAACATATTTTCAACATAATTATAAATTATGCATTTTGTTTACATGTCAAAATTTAATAATAATATTTACTAAGCATCTACTATTTCATAGCTTCCATGTTATATGTTTCATATACTTCAATTCTTTTTATAGTCCCTACACCCTTACAGATAAGGTATCATTATATCTGCTTCATATATGGAAAAACAAACCAGGAACAAAAGGATTAAGTAATTTTTCCATCATCACACAGAAATAAATGATGCCTCTGAAATTCAAAATACACCTTCTTGACCTCAGAGTGTGACAATGGTGGATAAATCTGAGCAACAAACTTAAAGGGGACAGGGGCAGAGATCTAAACTGAGGTTACATAGCTACTATTTAGGGTCAGATGAATACTGCTTTAGTTTAAAAGTGGATCAGCTAAAGCAAGAAGTTGGATACACATCCCCTGAATGATTCCCCTACAGAAAGAGTGTTCTCATTAAGTGCGATACAACAAAGTGGCTAAAATAGTGATCAAAACATGATGCAAACATTCTTTTTCTTTGCTTTTAATGAAATAAAAAGAGGTAATTTCAACTCACTATTAACTAATATATACACCTAGAAAAATTGCATCTGTCCAAAGTTATAAACAATAAGCAAAAGCTACCAATTGCAACTGCTGTTCACATCCAATACCTCAGCTCCACACCTCCTTTTAAATCAACCCTGACCTCATGGCCAACTATAACACCTCCCTATTCACCATCATATGCCTGGATGGCACCCAGAATTGACAGGGATTTAAAACACAGCAATTGTTTAGTAGATGAGTATTGATGAGTAATCAAAAATATGAATAAAAAGTATCAGAATGTTAGGGATATGGGGACAGAGCTAGGTATCAGATATGAGGGAAAGCTCAGTGGACACCAGAATGTTTTAGTGGGATGTTATTTGGGTATATGGAATTCAGCAGTGGCTGCTTTGGGACAGTAAGGCAAAAGTACCAGAAAAATATTTCTTGGTGGTGAAGTAACTAGGTGTGCTTGAGCAGATTAATGGTTGCTTAAGGGAAACATTTTGTCTGTAAAGAAAAATGCTGCTCTTGGGGCGCCTGGGTAGCTCAGTCGTTGGGCATCTGCCTTCGGCTTGGGTCATGGTCCCGGAGTCCTGGGGTTGAGCCCCGCATCGGGCTCCCTTCTCCACAGGAGACCTGCTTCTCCCTCTCCCACTCCCCCTGCTTGTCTTCCCTCTCTTGCTGTGTCTCTCTCTGTCAAATAAGTAAATAAATCTTACCAAAAAAAAAAAAAAGAAAAATGCTGCTTTCACCACCACTGCTTCATTTTGATTCCTGAGGAGAAAGTTCATATGAAAGAAAGAAATGGTATGTGCCCAAAAACTACAGCATGATTTTAAATGCTCTGTAAGAATATAGGATTTGGAATTATGCATTGAATCTATGAGCCATGTAACCATAGGCAAATTATTTGGCATTTCTAAGGCTCTTTTATGTGTTTGGTACATTTGACATAAAATGAGTTTGGCAGCAACTATAATAAGGTACTGAGAAGAGTGCTTGGCACAGTCAACTAATGGTTATGATAGGAATATCATTGTTACTATTTTTAGGCTATACTGATTTTTCAAATGGTACTTAGGTTAACTTTAATGAATTACAATAAAATAAAGAAGCACATATAAAAGGTCCATTAACTCTTTCCAATATCATTGGAAAATCAGATACAGGATAAAATATATTTTTGAATTTTGGTTAGGGAATTTCTGATCCCTTAACCAGAAAAAAAAAAAAAGGGGGGAAATCCTCTTTGTTCAAATTGCTTCCTGGTTCCTGGAGTCGGAGTGAAAATCAACATAATACGTCTATCTAGCTACCTAGTCAATGCCTCTACCTAGCTAAAAGGCCCCTGATACTTACTATGTCTAAAACTCTGTTTCCTTCCTCCACACTACACATCTCCAGGTTTCTTCTTCTTAGAATGGCACAAACAGTTTTTTAGTTGTTCAAGCAAAAAAACCCCGAAAAACCAAAAAAGCAAAACAAACAAAAGACTGTGACTCATCCTTGAGTCTTCTCTCACTGTCTACTTCTAATACATTAGAAATAAAATGTTGGCAGCATATTTGAAGTACATCCAGGATAAAGGTATTTGTTACAAGCAGCTGTTTTGTGAACAAAAAAACTTATTCCAACCCAACATGATCTCCACCACAACTTGAAATACTTTTTTAGCTGGTGTCTCCACTTCTAAAATTGCATGTCTACTTCTCATGGCCTTCTACCCACAGTTTTACAGCTAGAATGCTGACTCTTTTTAAGACATACATCATATCACATCATTATTATGCTCTAAATCCTTCAGGACCTTCAAATTCTACTTAGAATAAAACTCGAAGTCCCTACTCTGGCCCATACATAACCTACCCCACTATCATATTGTCCACTAGTAATCTCTCTGTCTTTCATATCACAAATTTTGTTCTTCCTTGAACATGACAAGCATCCTTCCCCTTCAAGTCTGTTTTACCTACTGTTCCTTCTATTGGGGCAACTTCCCCCAGGGATCTTTATGGTTCATTCCTTCATTTCATTCTGGTACTATTCAAATGCACATCCTTGTCTGTCATATGTAAAACAGTACTTTTCCATAACTATCTATAACCTTTTTCTGTTATATTGTTCTCCATGCAACACTTCTATACAATTATTCATTTACCTACTTATCACTTCTATACAATTATACATTTGTCTGAGCATTCTCTTGCTTTTTATTTTCTGTCCCACTAGATCCCCCACTAGGATGTAAGCCCCATTAGAGGTTATACTTTGTTATTTACTGTTACATCTCAAACATCTAGAACATTGCCTGGTGCACAGTTAGTACTCAATATGTTTTTGTTGAAAGATTGATCAAGTGAATGAATATTTTATATCTGTGTGTTAATATCCATGCCCTTAATATTAATAATTTATATTAATGGTTTAACCAATAATTGAATATTATAACATTAAATATTTAATTTACTATTAATATTTTAGTTCTTTAAAATTAAAAATAAATTCTATTAAACAAGCTAATGATTTAATACTTCATAATTTAATATTAATAATTTAATATTCATATACTAAATATTTCAAAATGTTAAATTCATCTAAGAGGCAGCAACCTCAGAACTCAAGGTCCTACAGCAGTTGCTGGAAGATATCCATTTTGACACAGTTTCTTTCTTGGATGTTCAGTAAAACTATTTTGGGGGTCATGAAGCCACTCTAAATTATCAGTATTCACTTCAAGATCTCACTGAAATCTGGACACCAACTTTTGCTATACTTGTGATAGAAAACTCTTATTTTTTTTTTCACTAAGAAGCAAGTGAAAATATAAGCTCTATATCTTTCAGTTGTTTCTCAAAATACAAAAGAAAAGAAGAGGTGTTAAAAGACAGTCTCAGAAAGACAAACTTTCTTTTCATGAGGATTACTTTTTTTTTTAAAGATTTTATTTATTTATTTGAGAGAGAAAGAAAGAGAGAGAGAAAGAGCATGAGCTGGGGTTGGGGGGGGTGCGGAAGGGAGAAGCAGACTCCCCGCTGAGCAGGGAGCCTGATGCGGGGCTTGATCTCAGGACCCCGGGATCATGAGCTGAGCCAAAGGAGGATGCTTAACCAACTGAGCCACCCAGGCACCCCTCTTTACATTAGGATTACTTTTAATGAGAAAATACAACTCCTCAGAACTGTGCATTTTGACTTTGAGTCTCCAAAGCTGAGTTAAAATGTCTAATTTTTACATATTTTTCATAAATACAAATGAGATATTAATTCAAATTACAAGCAGTTTTATGGTTGATTGTGTTTAATATTATTATTAAAGGAGCGGTCTGATAGTGATCAAAGTTTGGGACAATACTAATAACATGAAGATATGTTTAATGTCACAGTTAATATTTCATTATTTGTGTAAATGATACTTTTAATGTGCAAAGTCCCACTTAATTATATTTCTTTTCTTTTTTTTTAATTTTATTTTATTATGTTATGTTAGTCACCATACATCATTAGTTTTTGATGTAGTGATCCACGATTCAATATAGTGTACATGAATTATATTTTTTCAGGGCTCCTAGGTGGCTCAGTCAGTTAAGCGTCTGCCTTCAGCTCAGGTCATGATCCCTGAGATCCTGGGATTGAGTCCCCCGTTGGGCTCCCTGCTCAGCGGGGTGTTTGCTTCTCCCTTTCCTTTTTCCCCTCTTCTCACTTGTGCTCTCTCTCTCACACACTCTCTCTCAAATGAATAAATAAAATCTTTTAAAAAATCATATTTTTCATTGTAACTCACGATAATCACTTTTCTGAGTTCCTGAAGCCTATGCTTATTTTAACTACCTAGTTAAAATATCCTATAGTACACACTTACTACATTTATTTCATGGCTTTCAGTTATAACTGATGCTCGTTTTGGCTCACATTTCCTTTTTTCATATTACTTTGGTTACCACCTAAAAACTTTAGGAAATTAAATTAAATCTCAATGGACTGCACTGGAAAAAAAAAAACAAACAAACAGTAGATAGATACTCTCAAATAAATTCTTGAGAGATTTCACATAAGACCTAAGCTAGATCTAATTTGCACAAGTGACACTGTGTTATGAGAGTACCATTAAATATATTGATTTTTTTCAAAGAGTCTGTTAAAACTTGTCAACATGAAAACATTAGTTATAAAATTGCAGTGCCCATAATATTTTACAGAATACAGCATACAGGGGAATTCAAAACTATAAAAATCTGTTCCCAAATTTATATTGGATATTCTCAGATGCATCATTAACTTGAAATATATCATCAAATAATCTGTGTTAAAATGTATCTGCAGTTAACTTTACTACACATTCTAAGACTGTGAAATACTGAAACTATTTTGAGTGTGTCTATTATTTAAAAGGATAGCATTGCCTTTACAGTTTTACTTTGGAAACACGCTAGTGTGTCCGTATTTTCATTTCAAACGTGTATTCATGGTATCACCCCATGAACTGGACCCTGGCAGCTAAGGAATTGATTTCCCAAGCATTACTAAACCAAAATCAACATAGAAGTCTGTGGGTCATATCACTAAACTAAACACTATATATTTAAATGTATGCATTTCAAGTTTCAGTAAGAAAGGAATGTGCCTTTTACACCTTTGTGGTGGCCATCAAATTGTTTTTTTGACTCTCAAAGTTATTTATACAGAACTTGCACACATAAAACAAGTAAGTATTTATCTACTCTGGTATATGCATAAACAGAAAAGGCTGTGGGACCACAGCAGGGCCCCAATTACAAGTCAGCCACAACTTTTCTATGTGATTATTGGCTACAGTGAATCTGGAAAAAAAATATTGCTGTTGGATGTTAATGTCTTCATATGCTTTTAAACATCTCTGAGACTAGAAAGGCACTACAGAATCTTACAAATAAGCAACTTTTTTCCTAGTTGCACAGCATGTTTTTAGCAAGGAGAAACATATGTGGGAAACAAGCAAACACACCTTCCAAAATTAATTTGCGTCAGGAACGAAGCTGTCTCCAACTCTAATTCCAGTTTGAAAAGGATTCCAACACTTGGTTTTTCTCTTTGTCAATATATCTATAGGAGTTTCTGTTTTTTATGGCAGGAGAAACATCTTGTGAAACCTTGCTATAAGTTGCATCTTTTAATATACACTGTGTCTAGCTACATTTTTGCCCAGGAAGTACTCATACATGCCTAAACCATGAACTCTCTTGGTGAACTTAATGCCAAGGGTTCCTATTTCAAAATCAAAATGGGTAAATTTCTAGTTTTGTTTCTATGAATTGGTATAATTTATTTTGGTATTTTACTTAGTACAACTAAAAAAATCATTAATGCAAACTGTACTCAACATTGATAAGTCTATCAAGAGTTAGATATTTAGATGTAGATGATCTAGCTTTTCTTCTGGTCTCTTTCAACCATGGAAACTCTGCGAATACATGCATATTTCAGTCATTATTTAGGTGAAAAAATTAAGATAACAAAGTAGTTTAACAAAGTAATCAGTGATGGGTTACTTATGTAATACTTGAATTTTAGTCTCACCATTATGGTAATTTGGTATCTACACATGCATTGCTAAGAGTGATTTGGTTCATGCTGCTTTTAAGAAAGCTTTGCTCCTGAAATAAATTTTTGAGTTCAAATTTTGTCTCATTTTGAAGCTAAAGGCAAATGAACCCAGCACAACATGGAACTGGTTTCATTAATTGTAGTGCATATACGAAAGAGCAAACAATGAGCCAGTATGTTTCCTACCATCCTATTCTCAAGAATTTCTGGTCACGTTGTATCCTATTTCTTAATTTCACTTCACAAAATGGAAACTAGAATTTAATTCATTGTTTTCTGTTATAATCAGAAAAGTCTATTAAATATTTTACTGTCGTTTTTGTAAAAACATTCTCTTTGGACAGAGAGCAAATATGAACTTATCTTTCAAAACTGGGGTCACTACTTGTAACAATGTTTGCTTATTAATTTTAAATGCAAAATCCACAAATACATAAGAATAATACCAATCAGTAAAGTCCTTAAATAAGGTTAAAAATTAAAATGGGCTTTCTTTAATATATTATTCAGTAATGTTTATGATAACTTTCTGTAAACCTATTTTATTTAGTAGGACACACTGTGCCACACACTATTGGCAGCCCAACCAGGAAATAGCCCCCATTTCTTCTGTACTATTACTATGGCTGATTTTATCCAGGTATAAGGAAGAAATGTGCTCAGGGGGGAAGTGAACTCTTTATCCCTGGTATAATTCATTCATGGTTAATTCATGAGCTGGTGTTAGTTATTGGTTCAGTGTGGACATGTGAATTCGTCTTGAATAATGAGACATGAAAGGACATTTGCTGGGAAATATTCTGGGGCTTTTTTTCCTCCTTCTTAAATAAAATGAAATTTATAAGATGCTATAGAAGAAGTGAACTTGCTGCTTTTGGTCACAGTCTGTGAGTACAGCAGACTGAAGTTGCTGTCATTATCTTAATGATGATGAAAGCCAAGAGAATGATAGAGAAACCTTTTTGGAACCTCTACATGTTTGAACTGACAAACTAACCAACCCCAGAAACTCTTGCCCTTGAATTTCCAGTTATATTTAAGACACATTTAATTGGATATTCTGTTTCTTAGAGCAGACGATATCTAAAAGACCCGCACGCCATAGACAGTTTAAGTAAGGGTATCCCACAGGAAAGTTTACATGTTACTATGCATTTTATAAGTGTTTAAAGAATATTTTTTTGAAAACAAGTTTAAGTCATATATTTATTAGTGAGAAGGATTTATAAACATCTAACATTTGTTATTTTTGCTTACTCAAATCTATTTCCCTTTTTCTATGTACTATAACCTAATTAATTTTCTTTTAAGCCATTCTTTTCTTCCTCTCTGATCCTGAGGATCCTGTGGAGCTGACTCTGTTCTCCCATGCATAGAGTGATGATACTGATTAGTTCTGTGCTATCCAGAACATTAGACTCCAACTTGGAACCTTCACTTCTGAGATTCTTTGTTTGGCAGTATTTAAAACTAGAGCTGCTTGTAGCCATCTAGCCACCATGAAGGCTGAGAGTCTGTAGAAGAATCTGCACTGAGAAAAACATAGCTGCAGGAAAGAATGAGAAAGTTCCTGATGACATTATTTGACTCATTGGATCAGCACTGCCTGATGAAGAAATAGTCCCAAACTCTTCAGTTATAGGAGTTAATAAATTTACCCTGGGTTGAATATCTCTCACATAAAACCAGTGAGTCCTATCTAACACACCCAGTAATCTATTTCAAGTAGGCTTCTTTCTTACAATTCACAATATAGGACGTATGGAATAATTGTAATTGTTCCAGTGGAATTACTATACTAGGATTTTTTATTTATTTATTTATTTATATATTTATTTATTTTTTAAAGATTTTATGTATTTATTTGACAGAGAGAGAGCACAGGTAGGCAGACAGGCAGGCAGAGGGAGAGGGAGAAGTAGGCTCCCTGCTGAGCGCGGAGCCTGATGTGGGGCTCGATCCCAGGACAATGGGATCATAACATGAGCTGAAGGCAGCCGCTTAACCACCTGAGCCACCCAGGCACCCCACTATACTAGGATTATTAAAATGGTATGTAATTATTAAAAATGATTCTACAGGGTTTATATATTAAATTATTAATAGTAATCCTATGGTAGATATATTTTTTCTGCATGTATTATTTATTAATGTCTGTTAGTATGGAGTTTTCAGGAACTGATATCTGTAAATAGCACAGACTTATTCTTTGAAAAAAGTTAATTTGTTTTGGTTGAATTCACTATCCACTAATCCATCTGAATTCATTTAATTTTTTTTTTGGTTCTTGCATCTTTTTTCTTTTTTTGGACTTTTCCACACTATTCTTTATGTCTGAAGATTACTTGTCATGTTTTGTTTTCATCTCATTGTCTTTTAGCACTGGATAGTGGTTCATTTTTTTAAATAATGGATGACTCTATTTATTAATGCACTAATTCTCTCTTAATTTGCCTTTAAACTGCTATTTAAATCATTGACTTTCTCAGGTCTATTATCACATTTTTGTGTGCTAGAAGTTTAATGTGAAGATTTTTAAATGAGCCTTATGATTTTTGATAGTCTTGTTCTTAAGTTTTCATAATTTTAATTTCTTTTTAATTTCATCTTCGGCTTCTTCAAACATACTAAATTTACTAAATTTATGTTTTACTTTAATTTCCAACATCTGTTGTTTTTGAGAGTTTGATTCTGTTTTTTGTTGTTTCTGCTAAGGCTTTGTCATGATGGTTTGCTTTCTCCCAGTGTGTTTCTGTGTTGTTTAACTCTGAGTTCATCATCACTGTGACTTTATCTTTGGGAATACTCTGACACTTGAGTTCAAGGGGATTGCTCCAAGCATGCTTTGAACATGGTTCTATTAGGTGCGCGAGACCTAATCTGAGAACACTTTAAACTATATTCTTAATTTAGGTTTATAAATCAATAGTTAGTATAAATCCTGGACCCATCCCTGAGTGAGGGCTGGTTTGTGGTTAAAAATTCTCAGGGAAGACTTTTTATTCTGCTTCCCCAAAGCCTAGACAATATCTTTGGCAAACCATTTGATAGATATTCTTCACAGGAACACTTTGGATATAATCAATTAATTTATATTTAATAGTCTAGGAGAATTAACTTACCTGTTTAAATGGGAGATATTGCCAACATTAAAGTGACATTACAGAAAAAAAATAGAGCACAGCTATAATATTGGGAGCTAATTTCCATTTTCAGACAAAGTGACAGATAATTTTCTCACAAAATTTCCTAGATATTTAAAATGGATACCACCTACAGCTTTATCTGCAAAGGTCTCTTCATAAAATGCTAGCATCAAAGCAGACTGTGCAACTGCATAGATCCTTAATAGATGAGACACCGATGATGAGAAGGGAACTTCCTCCCCCGTGACCTAGGAAGACAAGAAAGACGTCTTTTCTTTACATTGCTCCCTGGCTTATTGCCCTCATTGAAATTCACACTAAGCAGAGAGGAGATGTGCACAAAGAAAAGAAAAGCTTTGCTATTCCTTTTTTTTTTTTTTTCCCCAGAATGAATCTAACGTTCTCTTGTTTTTGGATAGAAAAACATAAAAGTTCAGAAACTTGTTTTTCATTTCAGAAGCATTATGATTTTGATTTAGTCTGCTTTATAATAAACCAGTGTAAGAATTGAGTCAGCAGTATGTACTGATGATAACAACCGAAATGAACATTAAAATATGAAATATGAAAATAGGAATACATAAATATGTCCATGATTATACATGAAAGTAAAGAAAAAGAAAAAATGGAAGGTTATTTTACTAATGGAGATAATCATGCCTCAAAGGGAAATACCGGTTTATTGGCAACAACTTTCCTAAACTATAGAGTTTCCCAGAAATACTACAATTCTACTTTTATAATGCAAATTTAGGCACAAATATTACTTTAGAATATTCACTTTGGATTATCTATTGAAAAATAGAAGAAATAATAAATGGATCAGAGTTAACTAAATTTTCTGAGCTGAAATAAGGGAATTATTTTCACCTAATCAGGTCAGCTCATTGTTACATGACTGATTATGAACAACACTAAAAACATCTGGGAAATTTCAGCATAGCAGCTTTTATAACTGGATAAGAAAACATTCTTATTTAGATCATGATTTTTGAAAAATAACAAAATTCAAATAAAAACTGATTTTATTTCCTTGTAATATGGGCTAATTTTTATACTCACAATTATCTTTGATACAAACAATAGTTTACTCTTTCTATTGCTTTTAGATTACTATTAATGACAGTTATTATAAGGAATCACAATCTATATCCTAAGGATTGGAAAGAAATCTCTTTTTATCATCTCTATAAGAATTCCAGATTAAAACTGAATTTTTCATTGAGTTTCCAGGGTTTTAAATCTCCACTTCACTTACTTTTGGGTTTTAATGTGATTTCTGAATTTAATGCTACTACTACTCTACTAGAGAATGGGTGAAGTTATGGTCTAATCCAATAACCACATCACCTTGGTGTGACTTTAGACCTTCCATTCTAGAGACTTCATTTCTTTTTTTAAATTCAGTATAGTTACATTAGTTTCAGGTATACAATTTAGTAATCTGACAAATTTATACCTTATGCTATGTTTACCACAAGTATAGGTACCATCTATCTTGATATACCACTATTACAATATCCTTGATTATATTCTTTATGCTGTGACTTTTATTCCTGTAACTTACTCATTTCATAACTAGAAGTTTGAATCTCCCAGGCCCCTTCATTCACTGGCTGTACCAATTTACATTCCCAGCAACAGCATATGGGGGATTCTTTTTCTCCACATCCTCACCAACACTTGTGATTTCTTGTCTTTTTTTATTTTAGCCATTCTAACAGGTATAAGGTGATATCTCATTGTGGTTTAGATTTGCATTTCCCTGATGATTAGTGATGTTGACCATCTTTACATTTTTTCATGAAAAAAATGAAGGCTACACTGAGTCATCTTTAAGGCTCCCTCCACCTCTAGTGTTTTAGGATTCTGTGACCAAGCGAATGTGTTTGTAGAGTTTTTGCATTACACAAAGGCTCTTTGCTGTACATTTCAGTGGATCTGAAAACTAGTCTCTGCTGCTCTGCTCCCCAAATCATGCTCCCCAGTAAGAGGCAGTGTCTGCCTGGGAGAAGGCACCATTCTTATTGGCCCCTAGGTGGTTTCTAGTCAGTAAGTTGTGTACCAAAGGGCAGTATCTGCCTAAGTGAACATCTTTTTTCAGATCTGCATGAAGTCAACACGCATACAGGCTGACTGTAGACCTGGCAATATGATACTAATCTTCACCATCACCAGCATGAACTCTATTTACCTCTGGGATTTCTTCACTCAGTCCAAGTCTTGGTTTACCTGGACCCCATCCTGGTCCTTTAAATATGACAGAAAACTTGTTGAAGAATCCAGGTGTGGCCCAGAATGTAGTCCATATGTAAACTAAATGGTGGAACTAGAAGAATAAAAATATAGCTTATTTAAAATAAGAAAAACACATAACAAAAATATGAAGTATAATTAATCATACATTTTATTTATTATTCAATGCAATTTATATTTTTTTCTGTAATATACAGGTTATGTATCATTCAATATAGATTAATATGCAATTGCATATTGTAATTCATTCTATTCCTTCTGTGTCCCTTAAGTGTGTTCTTGTCAATATTTCTGAAGCTCCACAAAAATTATAATTTTGAAATTTAAAAAGAGGACAATGATTTAGAAAATCAGCAAAATAGAAAAAATGAGTTGAGTCTTTGCTTCCAATGGAATTAATTTAGCAGCTGTGCACTCAACATCTGTGTCTAATGATATTATTTCTAAAGTCTTGCTAAATGGATATTAATGTTGAACATGGAAACATATTACAGATTTAAAAACAGCCCTTTATTTACTGCACTGAGTTTTAGACAATCATGTCTACAATTGAGGAAAAATATTCAAAGCCATCTCTGAGTTTTATAGTAGGAATTCACATTCTGTAAAGAACACTGTACATTTGACAGGTACAGAAGTTAAAAGTATGCTCACACATAAGAAGTACTCAGTAAATATTAGCTATTAGGGTAATTGGTTATTCCATACATGTGATAGTAATGCATCATAGGATTTAAAATAGTCCTAGAGCTATAGACTCAAATGCTGACTTCTATTATAAGTGAAGTAATAAATTAATGTAGAAAGAAGTTTTGGCTCTATGAGAATTTGTGGTCCTACTGGCATTTTCATTGTCTCTTAAAGAGTTTAAACTGCTAGGATTATAAAAATGGTTTTAAAATTTCTTGAAACATTACAATAAGGAATCTGAAGCAATTAATGAACAATGTAGGGTTTAGTGGAGGAGATTTTGAGGAAAAGGGAACTGTCAAATGGAAATTTACACTGGGCCTTAATAATAAAAAATAATAATAATACAAAATATAATGTGCTTAGGAGTTACAATACATATTAATATACTTACCTGTTCTGTTATTTTGAAAACTGACTTCATTTTATTTATTTATTTTTAAGTATTTATTTATTTATTTTAGAGAAAGAGAGAGCACGAGTGTGGGGAGGGTAAAGGGAGAGGGAGAGAGAGATAACTTCAAGAGGACTCCCTGCTGAGTGTGGAGCCCAACGTAGGGCTCGATCGGTCCCAGGACCCTGAGATCATGACCTGAGCCAAAACCAGGAGTCTGACACTCAACCAGCCGAGCCACCCCGGTGTCCCTGACTGCATTTTATTGCTCTCATTCTAGATACAGGCCATGAGAAATACATGGTAACATTTTAAAATAAGGAGTACTTTCTTATTTGCCTCCCAATGCCCTGAAACTCCTGGACTCCAAAGGAGAGCAAAATGAGTGTCCTATGCCTAATAATAAAGAGGAAAAAAAAAAACAACCCTCTCCAACTAGTGGGGGCCATCTTACTTGCTTTTGATGCCTCTGAGGGAAAGGTGAGAAATTTGGCTGAATATAAAGGAATACAAGTGAAAGTAAGTATATGTTTTTGTAGGTTCAAGAACTCCTAATTGGGCGCCTGGGTGGCTCAGTTGGTTGAGCGACTGCCTTCGGCTCAGGTCATGATCCTGGAGTCCCTGGATCGAGTCCCGCATCGGGCTCCCTGCTCGGCGGGGAGCCTGCTTCTCCCTCTGACCCTCCCCCCTCTCATGTGCTCTCTCTCTCTCATTCTCTCTCTGTCTCAAATAAATAAATAAAATCTTTAAAAAAAAAGAAGTCCTAATTAACACAACGTGCCCATATAACATTTTGACAATGTAAGCGAGCATCTAGAAGCCTATGCCTCAGACACAGTTGTGATAACGAAATGTTTCCATGAGGGCAGAGGCCTGGGGCACTGAACCTAACACAGATTCAGCAGCTGCTCATAAATACTGTGGTTGTCTGAATACTGGGTCCCTCCAAATCCTAATCATCCAGCTCCTTGCTGTGCAGTTTTCAGTCTCCCATTCAGTCTCAGATATGAGCCCCTTTGCCTCAGCAGAAGTGTACACTCCCAAAGCCTTGCTCCTAAAGGATCAGCCAGGGAACAACAGGTTTGGCATCTCCGGGAAGCTTGTTAGGAATACGGAATGTTGGACACACCTCAGCCCGACTGAACAGAATCTGCACTTTAATAAATCCTCTTATGATTCATATGCACATGAAGTTTCAAAGGCTCCTTCCCAGAGGACAGAGACCAAGTTGGCTATTTCCTTTTTAATGTCCTTATTACAGAGATAAGACTATACCAAGTAAAGTGGTAGCTCTCAATGTGTTATTTTTAAATTAATTTCAACTCTATAAAGTTCCTTATTAAGAAAGTACTGTGACATATTTGTTAATACTCTCCTGAGAGATATATTTTTAGTAATGTCCAACAGAGAGAGAGAGATAGAAAGGCAGAGAGACAGAGAAAAATGGCCTATGATTGAGAAGGAAGAAAATAATCAAGTTTTCAGTATGGAAGTGTGAGATAAAAATATCTTTCATTTGAAAAGTGGAGGCAATTTGTGATGGTTTATTCTGTAAATAGGCAGCACAGTGCGAAAGTTATTGAGCTAGGTGAGTCTCGGGCTTGGCCTGCAACCCTCCTTGGTTAAGCCTGCTATGGGTAGCTGGTTGGCTTATTTAAATCCTGGCAATTTCAGTTTCATCCTTGAAAAAACGAGGATAAAAAGAATGACTGTCTCATAAGGTTTTAATAAGGGCTACCTTAAACATTTGTGCAGAGCGGTTAGCAATACCCTGCTCATGGTAAAAGTTCAATAAATGTCACTTTATTTTGTTCTTTTAAATTTCTTAAAAACTTTCAAGAAAGAGGTTCAAAAAGCAGACCCCACATGAACCTGTAATTTCTTCCCTTACTGAATGCTGCAAACCTGGTCCCCTGTTCAGAGCTGTCGCTGACTGACCTTTTTGGTTTTTTTTCAAGCATTCTTATCTTTTTCTCATTTACTAGTTCCTAACCCCAGGAGTGTTTGTGGTGGTCTGTTGCTGATGGATCGGAGCTTCACAGACATTCCTCATTTCTCTAGTGCCAGCCATTGAGATCAGTGAACAACCAATACCACATGTCTAACAGAAAACTGGTCCAGTGCAACAAGTCTTAGCAGGTGAGGTAATGCACAGACCTAACCAACTCATAATAGCTCCTGACATTTAGGTCCAAGAAGAGTAGGGCAAAGGCCTCATGTTGAATTTCTAACCAGAGTCATGCAGCTTTGAAGCAAATATTTTTCTTACTGTGGTATCAGCCTTAATTATGCATTTACTACTGCTCCTTCTGAATACATGAATATATTTCAGGTCTGTGCTGAGAAAGAAATATGTTTGCTAAAGAGCTATTTTTAAAAAAATTCTCGGTAGTAGATATATTTAAGAGTTCTTAATGAGTTCTTTTAATGAGTTGTTTTCAAATTTATTTTACCCAAGTTGATTCAAGATTTTGTTGGAGTGCCAGAGTTACTTTCAACTTCTTTTATGGTTAAAAAAAAAAAAACCCTTATTTTCAGGATAGTGTAATGTACTTTCACCTTTCAACAATTGATCTTTCTTTTCACTATAAGATTTATGAAAGGATATAATCAATTCAGAAAAAAATAAAATCAGTTACATTACCTGCACCTTGAATGGTTCAAATGTATTAATGGGATGTGTTAGACCATATACAACTTTCTCATTTTCTGCCTCAAATGTCCCTGGAAGATAAACATTAAGGATATGATCTTTGACTTTCTGTGAGTTAAGGAACTAAGTTACTATTTGTAAATTCATATACATTTTACTTACCAAAAATTCTATCCCATATAATAAGAACACCGGCATAATTTTTGTCTATGCAATAACGGTTTCTGCCTATAAAACAAAATATTTAAAAGGGGGCTTTTTTGAAAAATGAAGTTATGCTTTTGAAACATCTTACTGTATTTTAGAACCCATGCACAAAATTAAGACTTAGCAACAAAATGATTTTCCTAGGAATCTCTTTTCACTGATGCTATTTGCTAGTTAACTGTTTTTATTGTATTTATTTTTGAGTTAATTTTGCTAAAAAGAGCAAAGAATTCCTTAAAACTACATATATTTAGAATTATCCCAGATTTAAAAAAAAAGTTTTTGCTCATAATTATCCAGTTTTTTAGAAATCTGGGATAAATCTAAGTAATTTTACTTTAAGACTATCAAAGAGTAATAATTAAAAATTAAATGGCCCACAAAACAAAGGCAATGGGAAATAAGATAAATAATATACGTATATTTGCATTTTTTTTTTGAAGTGAGTTATCTCTATGCCTTTTCTCTGCATCTTTTCCAGGAATAAAATTTTCTACTTAAAGTGAGACTTTACTTTTTTTTTTTTTAAGTCATAAAAGACATAAGTGAAAATTAAATTACCCTTGATTATTTTTATTAACACAAAACATATATATTTTTCCTGCTCCAAAGTATTCAAATTATAATTTAAATGGAAATAGCTGGGCACAGTTTCTTTAATAATAAAAAAAAAATTGCGTGAATAGATACAACTATATTCATGTGAGTGTAAATCAAAGGAAGAAGAACATTAACCTACCAAGCCATTGCTCCAACAAACTCAACTGTCTTTATGTGTCATTTCTTTACATGCTTCTATATAAGTAAATATATGTTTAAAAGTGAAGACACAAGAGACAACCTTCCCCAGTGCGAAAGCAGCGTGGGGCTGGCTACACGCACAGACATACAACCCGTTGCCATATGTGGGCTAAGCCGTGGTTCTCTGTCGGGTGGGGAGAACATTTTGCTTCTCAGCGGACATGTGGCAATGTCTGAGGACTGCTGGGAGTCACAACTAGGGGCAGATATTATTTGCATCTAGTATGTAAAGACCAACATCCTGTAATAGACAGGGTAGTCCCACCCCTAACCTCCCACCTCCAAATGAAGAACTGTTTGGCCTAGAACATTAACAATGCTGAGGCTGAGAAACCCAGGTACAAAACAACATGAGTGGGAAGGTACCCTGAAGTCAAACAGAGAACACTAGCAACCATTTCTTCTTCAATGTGAACTTATTCTTCTCCACTCCTTATGTTTCCTTTTATGTGAAGGAATAGTCTATAACCCTTGGCCTTTCCAGCCCCTCACTACCAATCCCCTTGGGGTTGAGGAATGCCTATGGAGTTTGGATTCTTTTTTTTTTTTTTTTAGAGACGGGGAGAGAGAGAGAGCATGAGCAGGGGCAGGGAGGGGGAGAGGGAAAAAGAGAATCTTAAGCAGGCCCCATGCCCAGTGAGGAGCCCATCATGGAGCTGATCTCATAACCCTGAGATCATGACCTGAGCCAAAATCAAGAGTCAGATGCTTAACCAACTGAGCCACTTAGGTGCTCCAGGAAATGCCTATGGAGTTTGGAAGAGGAAACTGAGCATCTGCAGCCTGACTCTGCCCTCTCCTGTTCCTTGGCGGGGAAGAGTGCGGCTTATGTTTCCATCTGCTCCCTGCCAGGAGGAAAGGGACCTGCAGATTGGGAAGGCAGGCCTGCAGTCTCCCAGTGCTGCCTATGATGCCTGGAAATTTGTAAAAGAAGTACAACAATATTTATTATTTTATTACTGTCTTCCTTCTCTCAACATTGTGTTTGTGAGATTTATTCAGGCCATCCCAAGTTGCAATAGTTTGGACATTTTTATTGCTATAAAATTCCCCATTACAGGCATAGTCTACAATTTCTCTGTTCACTGTGATAAACATTTGAATTTCATCTCTATTTTTTTCTATTACAAATAATGCTGCTATGCACATTCTTGTACAGGTCTTTTGGTGCACACATGTAAACATTTTTGTGAAGTCTTATGCTGTCTTTAAACCTTAGGCACTAGCCACATGAGATATTTTCTTTGTCAGGCTAATGCAGTTCACAGAATTTAGGCAAGAAAGTGAACTGCTGTTTATTAGGCTTTCCTGAAATCCCAACAATTTTCAAGACCAGAGGCTTTCTGTCTGTGTATAGGAATGACCCTCAGCACTGGGTCAGGAAGTGACCTTCAACTGACTCCTTCAATGTAGAAAGTGTGCATCCCCTCAGGTGGTTAACTTGTTTTCCATTACAACTAAGGAGATCTAGGCAAAAAGGAAAAATCCAAGAAAGGTGGTTTTTTTTTTTCCTCCAATCTTTGCTTTGGAAATGAGGCTTGTCCAGGTGCAGTGGAAGAAATGATACCTATTTATACAGTGAATGGTGACTATGCTGAGTAATTGTGATGAAGATACAAAATAATACTGTTTCTAGAGTAATGAAGCAGGAAAAAAAGATCAAATTTCCTTACCGTGATGAACCCTATGATGGCTAGGAGTATTAATAATCAGTTCCAAAGGACCAAGATTATTGATGACCTGTTTAAAACAAAAGCAATATTTATATTTATACACATAGGTACCAATAAATGTGTATATATATTCACATTAAAAGCCCACATGGATTAAGAGATATTTCAAGTTTCAAGGTTGGCCTCAGAGTTGGAAGAAGTTTCTCTACTTCCTGGTATTCATATAAAAATAACAATAAGCTATGGGGCACCTGGGCGCCTCCGTCAGTTAGGTGTCGAACTCTTGATTTTGGCTCATGTCGTGACCTCAGGGTTGTGAGATCGAGCCCAGCATTGGGCTCACACTGGGTGTGGAGTCTGCTTAAGATTCTCTCTCTCTCCCTCTGCCCTTTCCCCTCCCTCTCCCACCCATTGTGTATGTGCAATCTTTCTCTCAAATAAATAAATAAATAACAGTAAGTTTTTAACTATACTGAGAGGCAGTAAAGTAGTAGACAGGTTAAGAGTTAGGCTGCCGAAATTCAGTTCCTGGAACCTCCATTTATTACTATGTGATCTTAGGAAAACAATTTAAGCTTTTTATAATTCAGTGTCCTCATGTTTAAAATGGAAATGTTAAAAAATATCTACATAATAATATTCTGAGCATTACAGACAGTACAGTATTTATATCCTACCACCGTCAAGGCACACTCAGGTCTCATGTCATTTCATGTTCTTCACCTTTCAGCTGTGTCTTGGTTGATTTATGGTAGCTAGCACATAACTAGGGAAGGGAAAACATAGTATTACATTTGCCTTCTGGTTAGTTGAGGGTTGGTTTCACCCAATACTCAGCCATGTAGCAACAGCTGTTACCTACTGCATTAGGGTGATTCTGCTTATTCGAATATAATCCTGAATGGTCTTTTACCTGTAGATGCACCATCTTTGAGTCCATTTTAGAGGCACAATTAAAAATGTTTACTTTAATTATGATCTAAATGTATTTGTTAGAGCCCACTAATGACAAAATCAATCACTGTTATATTTTAAGAAATTATTCACCTCTAGAGCTAATTTCCATTTGAGGATATATGAGGAATAAAGGAGTAAGTTAAATGATGCTTTAGGAGAAAAAACATCCCCCGACAATCATGACTCCGACATGAATTGGCAACAGGTCAGTGGTACGGGGAAAAAATAAAGAGACAGGACTGCTCAAGATAAAAAGATATTTAAGTTACAAAACAGCCAAATGGAGTGATCTTGTTTTGAATACTGGTTTGAACAAACCAAACAAAATAGACATTTTATAGTCAATGAGGGTTAAGACAATGATTATATACAGGGTTATTGCATGATAAAAAATGCTGTTTTTATTAAAAATTATGTTGGGATTGTCATCATGTAGGAAGATGTAATTGTTTTTTTAGAGTTGTATAACTGAAGTATACATGACATGAGATCTATGTTTTGCTAAAAGATACGTGGCAATGCATTAAGAAAAAAAGGATAACTAGTGAAAATGAATCAAAATCATAATGATTTTTTAATTGAAATGATGGATATACATAAATGTATTCTATTATTTTGTCTACTTTTCTGAATGTTTGAAAAGTTTTAAGATAAAATTTTACGTAAAAGGAACTACTACTCTTAGTAATACACAATAATGCCCAGTTAGCCAGTTGAAAAATATGAATAGATCTCTAAAGTCCCAAACAAATTTCTAGATTGCAACTCTTTATATAGCGGGGTTTAATCATGTTTTGGCAATCTCTGACAGACGTTAAAACACCCAGTTAAAAATTGCTCTGCAAATCTGAACAGCTGCAGTAGTCACACTCTCCCCAGCTTGTGGGGTCCTGTACCCTCTTGAGGTAGAAGCTGCAGCAATGTTGCCACATGGCAGTCTGCAGCTCTCCAGAGGGCAGGTGACACCAACCATCTCCTTATTGAACCCACTGTTTACACACTTGAAAGAAGCAGTCCTTGCCTTCCATACTGCTGCCAAGCTTCTGAGGGATTTTCAGTTTCCGTTATGGAACAGACAGAAATGTTGCATGCAAAGGATGTGTAATATTTTGTGTCCTATATTGATTTAGCCTCCCTCCCTCCCTTCATTCTTCTTTGCCTCCTTCCCCACCCCCCTTCTATCTTGGAGTTTTATCACCATTTTAAAATTATTTCCATGAGAAATATACTATGAGCTCCAAACAATAGACTTTTTGTTTAACTCATAGAACAGAATTCCATTTATACCCAAAGAACTATCTGTAATTTTTTTAATTTAGGAGTTCAAAATACTGTGAATATGTAGCACTTACATCAGACTACATTCCTATCAAATAAGCCACAAAAGGTATTATCCCACAAATAGAAGTACTAATGACCAGGGATTGGGATGGGAGTAAGTAGAAATAGCCCTGTATTTTACTGGACTCCACTGCTCTGTACTTGGTGGAAAAATATTTGTTAAGAAGAAGAATGGTGATGGATAGAGAACAAGAAAGTGGGGTTTCTCAGCAGTCAGAACATTGAAATCCGATGCTCTGTTCGGGCTTTGTATCTCTGGCAGAGAACCAGATGGAAAAGGAGAAAACCATTTTATCCTTGTTTGTCTCGTTGGTGCCTAGCATATGTTACAAAAACAGACAACAAAAGGGGGTGGAGGAGACTACACTGACCAGCTTCTGCTACCCAGATGCATTTCTGATCCTTGGTCCTGGCATGTGTGCAGCCGGATTTAAAGCCACACAAATGAATCAAAATGAGTGCATTCAGATGATTGGAGCCTTGGCTGAGTGCATTATTATTATTATTTTTTAATGTCAACCACTTTTCCTCAAAGAAAATCTTTTGCTCCTACAGGCTAAAGCATGGTGATATCAATATTGAAAGTTCCCCCTTTTTTTTTTAAAGTTAAAAGCCAAGTACAACACAGGCAACCACAGTCAATTTCCTGGTAGTGCCTATGAGGACCTTGGAGCTGAGGAAGACCACCTCGGTGTAGGAGATGATTCATCATTCAGACAGCCCAGTCAGAACCTCTTTTGGAGAAAACTCTTCTACCTCAAAATCATGGAGAAGTCATCAATAATTAATACAGGTTGAGCATAATGACTTAATTATCGCCCACTTTGGCAAATTCAGTCATTTAGCAATTCAACCACATCTAGCTTTGGGAATAACTTCCTGAAAATATGTTACTGTGGAAATTACTGCAGCTATTCTCATTTTTAAAAAGTTATTTTTTCTGTCTTATTTTTTAAGATTTAGATGAGTTAATTTAAATGATGGAATTTTATAACCTATAGAGGACTTAAAAATCATATAGCCCCATACTCTTATTTTTTAAAAAGCATAAAAACCGTAGCTCAGAGAAGTTAAATTATTAGCGCAAGTTCAAACAGCTTGGAAGAAGCCCTAGAGTCTTCTTGATTTCAACTCAAGATTCTTTCTGTTTTTCTATTATATTTCTTCTAAGAGATGCAGAAATATTTCCATCAAATAAAAGTAATTTAAACTTTTAGAAGTTTCATGGACAATAACTAAATGCTTTTTTACTGCATTCCAGTCAAAAGAAATCCAAGTATTTATAAAGAACCTAGACACTTCAGATTCTAAACTGCCCCCTCATGGGATTTTAGGTACTTCTAGTGTTTCTTAGGTCCCCAAAGCAAAGGTCTATTTTGTAAGCTGTCATTTTCTGTCAAGGTTTTAGAACCTGAGAACATGGATGCCTAGAAAGGCCATGAATGGGCTTCAGAAAGTCAAGAACACCCTTAAGTGTTATACCAAATTTTATGAATACGTACCGATGGGCATTTTTCTGGGAGGAAACTATTGTTTTCATCATATACTCAAAGGGGTAGATGAGTCCTCAGAGGTTAAGAACCAGTGTTCCAAACAAAGGTCTTTAGATTATTTCTTTGCCCTTCTTATTTATATTGTGTTTTCAGTTTCCATACTATTAAATTTTGGATGCTAATTTCTCAGTGAAACTTCAGAAACTAATATAAACATTTTTTCTGTCTATTTCTTGAAATCATTGTTTTCCAAAAGGATCATTTCTTGAGCTGTTTTTATATGTATAATAATAAATTATTATGAAAATAACAATTGTATAATAATAAGCTTCATCCATTCTATTGATTAAATTTTATCCAGCAGAAGTGCTCTGGATCTTTTGCTGTACTGATCACAAACTCATTTCTCTCCCCACAGTTTATGGCAGGGGTGGGGAAAACAGTTAAATATAAAAGTAAGAGAACAGGGCCCATAAGACACCGTTATCTTCTCATCATGTCATTGTCCTCATCAAAAATAAAGTGAACTCAAATGAAAGGCTCCTCATAATGAACTAAATGAAACCCAAAACATATCGAATTCAAAACTGTTCAATCTCTTCCTCAAGATGAATTTCCAATGTCCTCTTTCTTCTGCTTCAAAGATCTTAACCTCCCATCTCGATCTATTGGAATCCTGCTGTTCCTTCAAGTCCTACCTAAATTTTGAAACACTCTTCTTGATTTTTCTAATGAGAATTTTGTTTGCCTTTTTCTGAATATGTATTGAGACATCACTAATTTTTATGTCATGCTGTTCTGATTTCTAGTTATTTGTATTCACTTCCTATACAATGTTGAAAGTTCAACGAGGACAGAAATGGTACCTTACTCCCCTTCAAGGTTCTCGCAGTACATGCAACATTGACTTGCATATAGTGACTGCCCAACAAGAGTATATTGAGCAGATTAAATCCACCTCACGGCCCTCCCCACCCTTCTGGCTTTACAGTAGTGGTTCTCAAATGGGGATGACTGTGCTCCCAGGGGACTTTTGGCACTGTCTGGAGATACTTTTGGCTGTCACACTGGAGGAAGTGCTACTGTAATTTAATGAGAAGTGGGTTTTAGCGCTGCTAAACATCCCACAATGCACGGGACAGTAACCCAACATTGATAATGCCCTCTGCTTCATGGGGATACGTGTCTTGCTGTGCTTTAATCTTTTTGCAGTCCCAGAGGGAAGCATTGCAAAATTCCTGTCTTCTAGTTTGGAAATTGGAGGGAGGGGTACATT